CTAGCAGCTTACATCAACTTATAATTTTCTTAAACATGTCCTTGAGCATAGAAAATAATCCATCTTCCCGTGAGGAGGATACAGGCAAAACCCACCAGCTTCCAAGAAATCCAACTACAGTGAACTTCTGTTCTTTTAGTTCCACTGTAGCCAAACAGAAGATCTCATAATCTTCAACCTCAACTTTATTTGCATACAATGACGGCAACTCTGCAAGACATAGCCTGTATGTAGTTATGTACACTTCAAAGGGATCATTGCATGTAGCATTAATCTTAAGCAAAACTGAACATCATATGGACATATGCATAACACACCTTGAATTTAAAAATGAATGGATGTTTACAGATGACTTGATTTCGTATCTGAAATATTTGGTAGAGTAGAGACATTTCAAACCCATTAGTATTTAATGGTAGTGAGCATCTAATCTTTATATAATATAAAGTAACAGTTTTAACACAACAATTGGAGGGAAAAATCACGCCCAAAATAAGGGTAAAATAGGAAATTAATGAAAAAAACAAATTTGGTAATTAATTGTACTAAGGTGCATCGTTGAAAGAATAAGAATGAAAATATGGTAAGATGAAGCATTTATTGCCCATCCTTATGAAAGTATAGCAAGAAGGAGCATTTTTAGACAATAATATTCCGTACACATGTAATCATTAACACTCATATATACTATGTATTTCATAAATTATTTTTGGAAAGAAACAAAACTAATTTGAGCGTTATATACAGTACATGTTTGTCATATACTCCCTCCGGTTCCAAAAGATCTTGACACTTTGACTTCACAGTTTTTAAGGAAATAAACACTATTTGGCACTATTTGACACTGTTTTGTGTAGATTTATTTGCCAAATAAGGCAAATAAGGAAGTGTAAAGATCTTTCTGGTACTGCTAAAAATGGAAAGTGTAAAGATCTTTCAGAACCGGAGGGAGTAACTCATATGTGTATGGCTGTTAAAAAACCAATATAATTTGAGCGTTATATGTTACATAACTAATGCTCATTTCTGTATATGTTACGGATCAAATAAAAACCGATGTTAATGTAAAAACCGAAAATCGTTCACTAATTCCCTAATGTGATGTACTTTAAGGGTGATTTATTGCAGTTTTTGAACTTAGATTGAACCATGCTAAATAAAAAAATGTCGTGACATTTTCGTAAATAAGTCAAAGTTTTCTGACAATTTGAAAAAGTGCAACATGGGAATCCAATAATGTATCACATTGTGGAAGAAGTGATTGCAATTTTCACGGGAGGAATGCTTTTTATTTGATCTGTACCCATTTTTTTAACCCGAAAGGCAAACCACCAAAATAGAAAATATATTAAATAGATGCATCAACGTGCAAAACCGAAAGTTACATAATGCTGAAAGAATTGAAAGAATGAAAATATGGTAAGACAGACATGTATTGTGCTCATTTTTATTTTAATTATTAAATAATTCAACGCGCAAAACCAAAAGTTACATGCATGTTTGATCAAAAGATTGGTTGATAAGACTGATATATAAGCCTAAAAACACATATTCAAACGATATTCAAAGTTGGTGAAAATATGGTGTTCACATTAAAGATGTAAATAAACGTAACAACCTGTTCAATATTGTAGTATATATTACTTAATAACTATACTAAATAACTCCATATATAATTAGCCAGAATTGCTTCAATTTCAAAATTTTCACTATTATAAGTAGCGAAAATCCTGAAACAGAAGTAAAAACGATTTGGAATGTAAAAATATACAAAACTGTCATGTTTTTGCCTCCTAAGAATTAGTAATAACTGTCTTGTTGAATTATGGAAAAATTATATTTAAATTTTTTTCACTAATAAAATGAAGAAAAAGTTATGTGGAAATGACTAAAATCATCTTCTATAGTAATTTCAATCTATTGAGGCAGAAAATAGGTCTAACATTACTTATTTTGATTACTGCACAATTCACGTGCGGATTCAAAAGTTACGTGTTTGGTGAAAAAGTAGTTGATAGGGTTGATAAGCCTAAAATGTGAGTCACTAAACGGGCTCTTAAAATCTAATAACACCAAAACATAGCAGAGTTCCACTTATTTAGGGAACAATTTTTGTTTTTAAATTCACAAATCTTTTTATTCCTATTTAGCACAATTTATTTTATAAGTATTGAAATACATCAAATCATATGAGTAACCGACAACATTTAGAGCCCATTTGGTAGCACGAAAATCGGCTGATTTGGCTGATTCTGCTGAAATTTATGAAGTTCTGGCTGAAGTAGCTGCATTGGCTGATTCTGCTGATTTAAGAAAAAAATAATTTAAAAATATAGTTTATTAATAAAATAAAGAAAAAATTATATGTAAAATAGCTAAAATGGTCATCTACAGTAACTTCAGTCAATACACCCAAAAAAGTAACTCCAAACTTACTTTTTCTGCTTATAACACAATTCAGCGCGTGAAAACAAAAATTACGTGTTTGGTGAAAAAGTTGGTTAATAAGCCTGATAAGCCGAAAAACAGTGTTGCCAAACGACCTCTTATATATCTTCCATCCACATGGTACGTATAAAAATTACTCCGTACATAACATACTAGGTTATTCCCTTGATTTATATCTTTTATTCACTTTATCTCCACTCATGCATGTTGTATTGTTTTCCGTCTTCATGCATTTGGTTTTTTTCTTTGAGACCATGTATAAAACAGTCTCTTCAAGATTTGAAATAATCAATATACTTCCAAAAAGTTTGAAAGCCTTTATCCGTCAAGTTTAGGAGCTTATTTTTTATTTCGCAAGTTGAATTGTATAGTACTCTGTAATAAAAAAAGTAAGATTAAAGTTACGTTTGTGACTGCACTGGCTGAAGCTGTTGTAGAGGAACATTTTAAATATTTTTCATATAATTTTTCTTTTATTTTATTAATAAAAGATATTTTAAACACATGGTGTGGGGCGCCGGGGAACACCTCCCTATTTTATTAAATAAGTGTTTGAAAATACAACAGAAGTAAAGCATACGGAAAAATAAATTACATTAGCATTTGAAATTATTAAAGGGAATTCCAATTAATGATTAGATGGATATATTGAATTATTATGAAACTTGATAGCCTTATGCAAATAGGGATGCAATGTTCTGGCATCCAGGTGATAGTATTTAAAGCGCTTGAGAGCCGCTACCGGTTTATGAGAGGAGTCAAACCTTTCATCCACCGGGTAAACTTAGTAGTACGTCTCATTTTGTGGTTTTTTGGAGTGGCTTCTGGAGTTCTGGTGATCATCGGACATGAGCTATATCCCACGTGGTAGAATAGTTGTTCATCTTCTGGCTTAAAAATGTTCATGTTTTTAATTTTTCTTCTTTTAACCTCAGTAAAGCGTTCTTGGTGTTCCTCTTCGACTTGAATTGTAGCTTTAAGACATCACATTTTCATAAATCAACAGAATCAGCCATTCTAGCCATTTCAGCCAGAACTTCATAAATTTCAACAGAATCATCCGATTCAGCTAATTTCAGTATTACTAAACAGGCTCAAAAGTATTCAACCAAACTTTTGGAATATGCTCTTATTTGTTTTTGAAAACAAACTCATGTCATTAAATAATCTCATCGTTTGCCACATTACTTACAACACAATCAAGAATATGCTCTTATATTTTGTAACTTCATTTTATTCAAGATTCTACAAATTAATTCAATTGTTTTAATTTCAATTGAAATAATTAAACGTTGGGAATATTAAGATTAATCAATTGTTTTAATTATTTTTAAGAACATACAAATAGTTCCAAAAATACAAAGTATAGATTTTAACATTCTTAAATTGTCCACATTTTCTATTCATAATTCTTCAAATGTTAACAAAATTTTAAAGTTAAACATGCAATTACAGGTCAAAATTCGGTTAAAATGATTGATCGTTTTTTTCATAAAAGTTCACTTCTATGATACGGAGTATTTTTTTAGTATATGGGCTTAAGTGATAAATTTGAAATAATAAAAGAATTTATTTGACTCATTGCCCTCTTTTATTTAGAAAATTGCTCACTACATTCCATTATACTCCATAATGGAATGTAATTTCGAACAAGTTATTATTCCACTCTAGATGCACCCCGTGCATCGCACGGGTAGTTCGTCTAGTTAAATAAACCATAGTTGTGTTTTTTCCTGTACTGGGACGGGGGAACCTTAAATACTCTTTAGTAGCCAGTTCTGGCTTATTCTGCCTATCAACAAAATAGGTTGCTTTTGACTTGTATACTTGGTCTTAAACGGATTTTACAAGATGTATTTCCTTTTTCAAAAAATTAATTAAAGTCAACCAAAGGGCAATTAGAGTCCATTTGGAAGGCAATAAATTTGGCTTATCGGGCAGCTTTCCATCAAGCACAAATAACTAAGACCCTGTTTGACTGAATCGGCTGAAATTGTAGAAGAAACGACTGAATTGACTAAATTTGGTGAATTCTAGAAAAACATATTTAAAATATATTCTATTAATAAAATAAAGAAAAATATATATGAAAATTGCTAAAATGGTCCTCTACACAAACTTCGACCAATTCAGTCAGAAAAATGACTTCGACCTTACTTATTTTGATTATTACATAATTCAAAACGCTCGAAATCAAAAGTTATGTGTTTCGTACAAAAATTGGATGGTAAGGTTGATAAGCTGAAAATATGGACTCTAAAAAATTTATACTACCTCCGTCCCGCAAAGAAGTTCTCACTTTCCTTTTATGGATGTCCCACAAAGAAGTTCTCATTTCTATAAAAGGAAATCACTTTTAACAAAAAAGTCACAACTACCCTTATTTTTTGCCCACTTTTTGTTTGATTTGACATAAACTAAGGGTATACTTGGAAAGTCAAAACAAAACTCTACCTTACATAAATATATGTGTAGGTCAAACTATGAATTTCTTTACGGGACGGAGGGAGTACATCATTACTTTTTTAGCTGAAACAGCTAAAAAGGACGGCAATGATACTTTTAGCTTTATATTTGATACTATATTGGTATATTCCTTAATTTATTTTAATATACTCTTTCAAAATTTTACATAATTCAGCAGATACAAAACCATTCTATACGAAATTTAGTAATTTTATCACATTCGACCACACTACATCAACTTCAACCATTTTGAGCTTCACATAGTTACTTACCTCTTCAACAAAGAGATAAATCGAGACAGAGCTGGACTTTGTCGTGTAAAGAATAAGAGTTACTTTTGCAGCAATAATGAGAGGATGACCCCAATTTACAAAAACAGTTGCCACTAGGAAAATAGGAACAAGTAGTTTCTTTAGTAAGACAAATAAAGCCCTAAGGTCTTTCTTAGTTTTGGGATTTTCCAATAAGCCCAAGCTGTGACCATCATCCAAAAAAGCACCAAAGTCTTCAACATACAACAAAAAAGGAAACCATTAGACACCTTTGAGTAGGGGTGGACACAAAAGCCCGTAACCGTTTAACCATACCGAAAAACCGGAAAATCGTTATTTTTTTCGGTTAACCGTACCGATTTTAATTAAATCATGGTACGATTAACCAACCACAAAAAAAAACGGTACACGGTACAGTTATGGTTTTGAAAATAAGATATGGCCGGTTAACCGCTAACCGGTATTTCAAATAATACATGCTTCGTATGTAACCAGTAAGCTAATTTAAGGTCGTTGGTCGTATATTTCAGAAAACACTACCTGGAATCCTAGATACATATGAAACAACTTGCCTACTTTTTATTCTGTAAGAATTAATAAGATTAGAACTTCATCAATTCTCAAATAACTTTGATACCGGAGTATTAAATAGAAAGTTCAATATTAATCTTATTAATCTAGCTTAAGTCGTACACAAATATAACGGAGTTTATATTTGCTGGAGTTTGTAATATATGTGACTCTGTCAACTTATTGAATTATATATTTATAGTAGAATAGACATTGACTTGACTATGAATAAACTATAAAGTTTAGATAAATGTGATTGATACCTAAATATGGATAAAGTTTTAGAGAAATGACAGTATTTTAGATTTTAGATACGTCATTATTATAGTTTGTAGTATTATAATTATAGTTTGTTGGAGTTTGTATTATAGCATCTTGTTAAGTTTGCAGTATTATAATTATATACGTGGTGTATTATTTTAATTCCTGCATTTTTTGGGAAGTTTCTATTCATATTTGATTTTACTGTTAATATTTTGTGGTTTTATGGTTTTTGGTTAACCGCAAAGCGGTTAACCGAAGTGATGGTTAACCGATACTCGGTTAAAAAATAGTAACCGGGTTCTCGGTTAACCGAAAGTTGATTAACCAAAACCCGGTTAACCGACCATGCCCACCCCTACAGCTTTGAGACATATATCCAATACACAGTATTTTAATCCCTTACGCTTACCATCCATCGCATATGCAGTCCGGGGCCACATGCTAATTGATCCGAGCAATGCTGATAAACCAACAGTGTTGCACCAAGTAAAATTACCTCCTTAGAGAATGTCAATCGGTAACAATAATCAACATCTCGGAAGGTGTTTAGGCTTTCAGAAAAATAATGTAGATAAACTGTTAACGTATGTTGAAATGTAAGAAGTAATGCTAAAGCATCAATCGTCTAGGAGCTACAAAAATACCGGCCTAGTTACCACCGTATCACCTACGAGCTAGGCCTTCTTTGACCACTCTAATTCTAATCATCAAATGTTCTCTTGTGTTGGTTCCACTTAAGCCCATCTACTTGCAAGGCCCCAGTCTGCAGCCTGGGACTACTGGTGCTTTCTAAGGCATGTTTGGTACGGATTTTGGGGAATTAGAGTTTGCACCCAAGTTTCTCATCTAAATTTGAGCTTACGCCACGTTTTCAAAATGATTAATACGCACACTCCGAAAATTAAAGGTTAACCCAAGTTTTACTTCCAAATTGGAGTTTGCACCCAGTTTTAGCTACTTTTTTGGACTTCAGGGAGGGAATATTAAGGGAAAAATAATTTAAATACCCCAAACTTTGGAGGGGTGTGAGATAAATATCCCAAACTTGTACACTTCGTTTGTAATATAAATACCCCAAATTTTATAAAATAAGTTATCTTAGCACCATGTCATCATGACCACATATTTTTTCCTTCACAAATGTAAATTTATGGTGTTAAATAAATAAGTTAGATACACTAAACATTTTTAGTCGCAAATAAGTTTGAGGTACTTACCTCACATCCCTCTAAAGTTTGGTGTATTTCAAATATGTTCCCCAAATATTACTGTTTTTGAAAACGAGGAGCAAAATCCAACCTCCAGAATGTAACTAATAAGGTAAGCATAATAAACCGATTATGGCTCTATGGGAGCCTGAAAACACTGTGCTTAACCTCACATAAAACACAATCTGATGCATTGGAAATAACTAATTGGTTATTCACATGAGCAATTCATCATTGAACTCATTTACTATATGGACAGAATCACTGTTGGGGGGGGGGGGGGGGGGGAGGGGCGAAGTGGCGAACTATATATAGTACTACAGGCATTTAACTGGTGGACGCATGTGCTAAAACTGTTTGAATATGGTAATGCGTTAAACCTGACCCTGATCCTTCAATTTTGGGAGCTGCTCATGGCATTTTTGCACCTCAAATGGATTTCTGAACTTTGACATTGACCCGTAAGCTTGAGGTTTTGGGCTTTTCGTCCACACTTCTATTAAATGACGGAATGTTACATCATCTGCAAAGGAAATTGATTGAATGATATCGAACTGGCCATCGAAAGATGAGAATAATTTGAGCAACGCGAAGAAGTGGACTTACAGGAAGCTCTGGATGGCGAGTAAATGGGATTTCCAATGATAGAGGAAAGAGAAGATCTTGTGTAATCAAACGTCTAGACTTTTGGATCATGTGTAAATTGAAATAAGAATCACCATGCATAAGAAAGGGAAGAACTGTGTTTTATTCATTGAGATGAAAGTTACAAGATATGCAGAGAAGACTTTCCTAAAATATTACAAGAAGTGTATTTATAGAAGAAGATAAGTAACCGAATGCTAACAACTAAAACTAACTAACTTCTTCTAGAATCTTGTAGTGTCTTCTCGTGTATGTGAGTATGCCAAGACCCCCCCTCAAGATGAGAGTACAGATTTTGTACTCTCATCTTGGACAGTAGAGAGTGAAATAGAGCTTTCCCCAAAGGCTTTGTAAATATATCTGCAAGCTGATGTTGACTGGGAACAAATAGAGTGTGTATTTTTCCTGATTGAATCCATTCCCGGATAAAGTGGCAATCTATCTCCACGTGCTTTGTTCTTTCATGATGCACTGGGTTTGCTGCAAGGGATAAAGCAGACTTGCTGTCACAATAGATTGTAGCATTGAATATAGGAATGTTAAAGTCTTGAAACAATTGCATCAAACTGATAACTTCAGCTGCAGAAGCTGCCAATGCCCTATATTCAGCTTCAGCCGAACTTCTGGAAACTGTATGTTGTTTCTTTGACTTCCATGAAATGAGGGAATGTCCTAAAAACATGCAGTAACCTGTAATGGATCTTCTAGTGTCTTCTCGTGTATGTGAGTATGTTTGTGTCCTATAAGATTGGAAGCAAAGCACAAACAGCCAAACGATCTTAAAGAGGAGTAATCAGGTGGTTGATTATGAAAGATTTCAAAAGGAGATTTGTTATTCAAGACTGAAGAAGGGAGTCTATTTAGGATATGGGCTGCTGTGAGTATACAGTCACCCCAGAAATTTAGAGGTAATCTGGCTTGGAATCTGAGTGCTCTGGCAATATTGAGCAAAGTTTGGTGTTTGCGTTCAGCCACCCCATTTTGTTGGGGTGTGTATGGACAAGTTGTTTGATGTATGATCCCTTCAGTGGAATAAAAATCTGGTAAATGGAATTCGGTTCCATTATCAGTTCTTATGGTTTTAATTCTGACAGCATGTTGTGTTAAGATCAGTTTGTGGAAGTTTATGAGGAATTGTTTTGTGTCAGATTTGTGTTTCACTAGACAACACCAAACAACCCTTGAAAATTCATCTACAATGGTAAGAAAATATTGAAAACCATCATAGGTAGGAACATAAAATGGACCCCAAACATCACAGTGTATTAGGTCAAACGTCTTGGTAGATTTAATACTGCCTTTAGGAAAAGGTAATCTATGTAATTTTGCTAAAGGACAAATATGACAATCTTTATTATCAAGAACAGATACATGTAATGCATCCTTTATTGGCTGAAGTTTGAAATCAGAAACATGGCCCAATCTTTGATGCCAGATACTAGAAACTACACTATGAGACAGATGTGAGACATGATCATCAGAAGTATGTTTTGGTGAATGAAGAACATATAGTCCTTTGGTTAATTCAGCAATGCCAATCTTCTCCCTCGAATTTTTGTCCTGCAAGATACACTCATTGGCACAAAAAGAAAGAATTAAAGGTGCTTCAGATATTAGTTTTCCAACACACAGAAGATTCACATTGAAATTAGGAACATATAAGACATTTGTCAAAGTTATGTTGCGAAACAATTTAACATTTCCAATGTGAGAACTTGGAACCTTGGATCCTGTGGGTAAATGAACAAAGATGTTGGAAACATGTTTTGAAGAATCAAGAAGAGAGAAATTACTAACCATATGGTCAGTAGCTCCTGTGTCAAGGATCCAAGATGTACAAGTAGAAACAACAATATTAGCACTTATAGAGGTGCAAAAACTCAGATGATTACCTGTGTTGTTGGATTGTTTAGAGGTTAAAGGTGTGAGAGGAGTGTTTTGAGAGGTAGTCAGATTCTGGATCAAGCTTAAAAGATGAAGGTACTGGTCTTGAGTCACAACAGAACCAGGCTTATCCACTGAAACCTGGCAAGTATTCTCCAATTGAGCTGCACACGCATTAACCTGACTTGGAAACTTATTGCTCACCATTGGTTGTTTTCTTTTTGGTTTGTATCCCGGAGGATATCCATGAAGTCTATAGCATTTGTCCACAGTATGGTTATGATAGGGTTTAAAACCCTTGTTGTGTGAGCTGTAATTTGATGTATGATTAGAATTATTCTGTTCATTCTGATTTCTATTACTCATCATTATCATTGGCTCCAAGTTCAGATTGGTTCTCATGCTCCTCTGCATTTCATCTTGTAAAACAAAGCTGAAAATCTGATTTAATTTTGGAAAAGGCTTAATGACAAGAATCTGTCCCCTTATTCCGGCAAAAACATCATTGAGACTCATCAAGAACTTAATTGACATTTCTCTTTCTTCTCGCTCCAACATAGTTTTCATGAATTCACATTTACAAGTCTTGACAGCTCCACATTTGCAAGTAATCATAGGATTATACTGACCTAATTCTCTCCAAAGCGAATCAAGCTTATTGTAGTAGTCTGTGACGCTGAGATTACCTTGAACTGTTGCGTAGATTTGTTTTTGTAGGTCAAATATCCTTGGAAGGTTGCCCTGCGAGAAATGTTCCTGAAGTGTAGACCACATTTGAGAAGCTGTTTCTTCGTACAGAATACATTTGAGAAGCTGTGGATGGCGAGTAAACGGGATTTCCAATGATAGAGGAAAGAGAAGATCTTGTTGTAATCAAACGTAGAAACCTAACCGCATACATCGGTGTGGATTGCCACTGGTCAGCTCGTCCCCATTTTCTACGAACGAAGTGTGTGCACTTTGAGCTAAGTAACAGATCGTTCGCCGAAAGAAAAATCTGCTATCGGTATCATAAGCAAAGCACAGAGGCAATAGTTAACTGCTCACCAGTCCCCACGGGTTTCTGTCTGCAGCGGTAATTCCGGTAAAGGCACACTTCTTGTAGCCGTCATTCTGTCTGTGTGTGTTGCGACGGCGCCACAGCCAAAATGGCCCCTTTGCAAAAGGATATCCTTCAACGACGTCGTATGCGGTTTTCATTTTTTTTTTGAATGGTTAAAGTATTAAAGCGGCAGGAGTTGCTATGTTGCTTATTTGATGTAGTTTGTTACATACTTACATGACATGTTTATCAATGTAGTTTGTTTCATCAAGAAAAATCTAGACGGAGATAGAATGTTTAGATCAATTTGCCGATCAAGAACATTTGTTTTTGGTGGTATTACATTTTCAATCACTTTATTAATTAGAATGTTTTTACTTGGATTGAGATTTGGTGATCTGATAATGTCTGGTCTATGTGTATCTTTATAAGTATCACAATCTAGTTTGATCTGGTCTGGTCTGAGACTGAAAATAATCCAAAACAATAAAGTGGAAATATATGGTTGTGGTTGAGTAAAAAAAAGGTAAATGTATAGTAGTCACAAAAAACTTTTCAAAAGGAAAAATATGAACTACAGAGTATTTTTTTGGGACGGCTCAAAAAGGAAATTGAGAACTATTTTGCGGGAATGAGGAAGTATTGAGTTAAGTCCAAATAAGATACGTAAGACTCCATACATAAGAAGGGACTAAGTGTCACGCCCCGGACCTAGCCGGACACGTCAGCAACCCGCCGTACAGTACGAATAGTCAACCGCAGTCCAACTCATCCATACTATACAAGGCGTCATGAATATCATTCACACATAGTACATCCATAAACAAACATAATGTAAAACATGCATTTAAAACAGCGGAAGCATTAATACAATTGTTCAAGCCACACTTGGCATAACTAGGCATACAAGTCCCCAAAGTAATTATTAAGAAAATAGTATCCATGAGCATTAACTTAATTGTTTTTAAAACAGAACGGAAGAAGCACGAACCACGTCTTCCTCCCTTGAGCCTCCCGAAGCAACGGGCAACGGTAGCAACTTCAAGTTCTACCTGAAACTGTGAGGTGGCCTCCCCCGTGAAGGGGAGGTCAGTACTTGGAAATATTTGACAAGTACAATAGCAACTATACTAAGTATAATCAACGTTTTAATTTCCAAGACCCTCAAAATAGGGTGATATCATAATATAAATAATAATTTATATTTCCCGCTTATTATCTTTATAATAAGTAAATTCATTTATTT